AATTAAATCGCTTTTGTACGTGGTCGATGCACTCTTTCTTCGTGACTGTAAAGTTTGCATAGGGCTGCGATTCTACGACGCCTTTAAAAGTTTTTAAATCTCCGTCACCCACGTAATTTATATATTTCAATCCGTGCAAAGATTCTGAGCGATGAGTGAACCTTTTAAAAATTTTTTTTCTCTATAGGACCAACTGCATATTGTTTTTAAGACCCTAAAGTATCGTTTAAGCAAAAAAAAAAAAAATCGATTTTTTCAAAATTCTACAGTGGTGTTACCCCTTATGTGGAGCATAGGACGTCTATAGACCTCTTCCTCTTTTGTCCGAGGCCTATATTCGTTTCTCGAATCAGATTGTTTTTCGGATTTGTGGTTGATTGGTCCACAGAATCCTACCTCAGTCAGATATTAGAGACAAATATCTAATGATATGTATACTACTGATGTATAGAACCTACAGTTTAACGCCAAATCCGAACGGCGTTGATGATCATAGATCTTTTGATCACCAGGTGGAGCCATTTTTTGGCTCATTAAACGCGAAAAATCGCGTTTGGGCGCACGTGGGATTGAACTCGGGAGATATTATGGCGAATTCGATTGGATTGCACCAGTGCAGTGTGATTGCACCAGTTCATCTTTTTTCCTTTTCCCTTCTCCTGGAAAGAAAAGGAAGAAAGATGAACTCAGGTGCACTCAGTGCGCACTAGTGCATCCAATCGAATTCGCCATTTTAATTGCATGAAAGTAAGCATTGTGAATGATTGGCTGCGTTCAGCAGAAAAAGCAGCTTTGCAACTGTTGTAAAATTCTTTAATATGATTGGCTTATACATTTAGATGTAATAAGGAAGTAAGGGCAAGACCAATCATATTAAAGAATTTTACAACAGTTGCAAAGCTGCTTTCTCTGCTGAACGCAGCTATTATATATCCAATTAGATGCACCCACTCTCTTTCTGAGGCTGAAAATTTTTCTGCAAACATGAATTACGTAGAAGAAAATATTTTAATATTTTCACATTTTTAGCAACGTAAAATATAAATCAAAGTATCTAAACATCATTCTAGATAAAGATGATTTTTTTTTATCTAAAATGCAGATAAAGATAATTAATATTTTTATTATCTAGATAAAGATAAGATGGCAAAATTTCATCTAAATAGATGATCATCTAGATAATTTTATCCAGATAAGATAAAACACTGTATATGTATAATATTAATTTAATTTGAAGCTATATAATATAATTTGAAGCAATTAATATTATACAAATTATACACAATGGGCGCATTCAGCAGAAAAGAGCGCTACGAGAGCGCTCGCTGTTATTGGTATATTCTTCCAGATTTAAAATTCTGATTGGATGATCTAGAAGAATACACCAATAACAGCGAGCGTTCTCGTAGTGCTCTTTTCTGCTGAATGCGCCCATTATCTATAGATATACCATTATATAGATGATTGCAGATGGTTTACAAGTATCGAATATATCATGATTTCGTGATAAATAATAAAATTATGGAAAAATAAACATATAAATAACGAATAAATTAATACATGCAATAAGATATACACAGTTTTTACTCTTTATTTTCTCTTTCAATATGCCAATGCTCAATCTGATAGTGATTTGAGAAATGCTCTACTCTTTCCAATATACATAAAAATTGTTATGCCTAAAAAACTGAGCAATTATTATAGTCATGCTGTTTATTAAAGCAACAGCGATTATCCAAAATTAATGTCACTGTCAGACACATTTTTGCTCGCTTGTACAATTCCATTCTACTCTATCTTTCATATCTTGAAAATCATTTAAATAGTTTGAATTTAACTCTATTCTTGCGTATAACAGCATACCTGTAAACAATCATTTGAATTGCGCGGCAAACACGTGATATATTTCCGGTTTGGACTGTTAATGTAAAAAATCATTACATCTCTGATTTTATTGTTGTAATGTTCGATTTTTCTCTGACGCTTCACTTAAGAATTGACGAATGTTTTAAACGGAACATAGTCTGCTAACGATGTTTCGTCAAATAAATATTTTGTATTAATCAGAAGGAAATATAATCATGAAGACAAAAGCGAAGGTAAACTTTTGGATAACGTTGCCAGGAAGAAATAAATATATTAGCGTTGCGGTTTGATGTAAGCGAATTATTATTGATATAGCATTTTATTTCATTTTATAGTAATTAATTATATACTGAAGATGGTCACATTGTTATGACCGAAACGTTTATGTTGTTGACAATAAATTATTGACTTTAATAAGTTATCACAAACTAGATCTTGTGCGTGGTTTCATGCTTATTTAATTGAAATTGATATTTATTATGATAATTTATATTAAAACTATTAAATAAAACATTTCAAAATTTTATATAAGAAAGCATAAAATTACTTATTAAATTATAAAATTATTTATATAACAAAGCATAAAATTACAACAATCTAGATTGTTTCCTAAGTATTTTTGTTTTTTCCCGATTTTTCTGATTTATCTCATTAAATCTAGTGCAAGCAAAATGCATTCGCATTATTAAATAAAATTTAATGATTGATACAGTTAAAACATGCTCATCATCTTTACAGCCTACTTTCGGTATTTCTATCTCCTCAAGCAAATCAACTACTTCAAATAGAGTGTTATTATTAATATTTTTAGACGATAACACTTTGGTCACTGTATCTTCTAGAACAGAACATAAACAAAACATTTGATTTGACGGGTGTAAAAGTCCTCCTCGGAGGCCTGCTTTTGAGTGTAATCAGTAAATCCCGTTCTTCGCATGAATCTGCGATGACATTCAAGAGTGAGACCTGCAATTTGTGAGACCTGCGAGCTACATATCCGGATACATATGACTTCACAAAATCACATGTTTGAACAGCGAGATAGTTATGATCTGTTCCTTTCAATAATTCGTTGATTTGGTCTAAGTTTATTTTACCATCAACAATTTTATCGACTTTGGACAAAAAAGAGGATTTTAATTCTTGCTCTATGTCATTAACTTCTTTTTGGCTAATTAACGTCGAATGCATATTAAAAATTTCGTATATACAATTGTAGTATTATATATACACGTTAAATAATTAATTTATGATACAAAAGTTTTTAGATTAATTGGACTTGGTTAGGTGGCGCGAGAGCGTATGTGTAGAGACCCTGTAATAAGAGTCTGGCCATAAGAAATCTCATTTTGGAGTGTTTTGATTGGTCCGCCATTTTTTCTCTAATCTAAGAGGGGATAGCTTCAGCGCAAGCATATAAAGGTTGAAGCTGCATTCGGCGCAGAGCATCAAAATCGAAAACATAGCATACTAACTTCAGATACACTGATGTAACAAATTGATTCAAATAATATTTGAATAATATTTATTCAAATTTCATTATATTTATGTATTTGTACACAAATTTTGTAAATATGTAATATACGGCATATGTATGGTACGTAAATGGTAATAAAAAAATGAGTGTAAAAAAGATAAGTGTAAAATGAAAATTTTACCATTCAATAATTAAGGAAAAAATTAAACAATTAGAGTTTAACAGTTTGCTTTATTTTATTGTACTACCATTACCATTGACTTACTATCATAATATTTACGTTTAATAACTCTTTTTTTATTCGCTACCTGCATTCTATAAAATTGCATATCTACTAGCTATTTTTTTATCTAAACTATGACACAATAAAATATGACTATTACTTACTTAAAACATTTAAAAACTTATCAATTAAATAATTTTTATGAGCGTGATTCTTATTGCACGTAGAGTTTTGATGCTGCATAAATATATATTCCATCTTTTTAAATAACTCAAACGTTTCATCGTTTATAAAAAACAAAGTATTGTCTTTATAACTTCGCAGTTGCACTAGTTTCGCGTGTTTTGAAAACAAATTTCTTTGTGTGGAACCTAAAAGCTACGAATACAACATTCACAAACTTTTGTTTTTTTTTTAATACTTCTTATAATGTATCCAGCGGTACTATATAAAATATTACATTGGGTATAATCCAATTCTTTAACATCCTGAACTACAGGTACATACATATGATAGATTATCGTTTGATTTATTATGAAACTTAGATTTATGTTCGTTGATAACATCTAGAAAACCTGTTACATATTGCGTATCATTTTCTTCGTAATTACCTTGAGAAATTGAACGCATATATAAGGAAATGGTAATTAATTTAAGATTATTTTTATGTTTGTAGAGCATTTAATGTAACATTTTTGCTTCGAAGAACAGATAAAAGATTCTCTACACAGTCCTGCGTTAATCTACCTGTTAGCAAGAATTGAAATTTTTTTGGTAAAAAGATAATCTGCCAATCCTAAAACAGATTTAGTTGAAATATAATCACTCCTTTCTGAACAGGTTTAAATTCCCCTTTCTTACCAATACGAAGATTACAAAATATCTCTATAACTTCATTTAAAAAAGAAATAGTATCTTATTCATATTTCGCCAAGTTTTTTGTACCTAAAGAAATGCTGCAGTGCCTTGAAGTCATAATCGTATATTATCTTACTATTATTTTAACAAAAAATGCTGTAGTAAGATATTCTGGTGTTGAATTTTCATCAGCTAAAAACTCCAAAGCAGTGCTCACTTCATGACTCAATAAATTTTTCGCTTTATTAACACGCATTTTATCAAAATTGTTGTTCGTATCGACATCGTTTATACATAATTTTGGCGTTAATAAAAATTGACAATCTTGTTGCACTATTAATTCTTTGAAGTGTTTTGCTTGTATCATATTTGTTGGCAAATTATACTTATGTACTATGTTATCAGGTAATAGGAGAAACTTATTATTTAAAATACACGCTTTTAAATTCTTTAATAAGTGCGGTACGTCCGCAATTATATACAAATTACGACTTGGGTCACATGGATGTGTAATATGATTTACAATTTTGCTATGTTTTCCAGCTGTAATCCCCAATGCTTTCCATAAAGCTTGATTGCCCGATTCCATATCAGACGTAATAGAATTTACGGCAAGACCAATTGATTCGGCTCTGTGAAGTATATTATTTATTATTGATTGTAACGTAGCACCTTTAAAAACTTCACCCGTCAAATAATAGCCAATAATCTGTTTCCAACGACATGCAATACCGCATAACATAAATACCATGTATAAATAGCATGTGACGCCATACCTGTATGGCCTGGTAAAGTTACAGCTCCAATGTTACTTTGCGAAGAATTGTCAAACTTTTCGTCTGATGAAATACTGATTTCATCAAAAACTAAACAACATTTCCGATCAATTTCATTCCAATTCGACAACTTCAATTTTAAAAAATTGAAAATATCGTCCGAAATTCCACTTTCAAATTTTAAATTTTCCACTTTTCTTCGCAATGTTCTAAGCCCTGGCAAAGGAAACTTCTGATGACGGAGTTCTTCATAACCGGTAACGCCACAAGAAAATCTTAATTTAAGTGCCTTCATAATTGATTCGTTGCTCCATTTTCGTACTCTCCTATTATTCTTCAAAGCTGCAATTTGATCATCGGTAAATATTTGTCGTAGCCTGCTTAAGAGAACCATATTGGTATCATTTCGTTTCTTATTCAGTTTTATCGCCTTTAAGTTATCGATGCAATTTTTATATTTTTTTAATTTAATAATTTGTTTTTTAATTATACGTGATTGTTCACATATAATTAGTTTCTGATTTTTTATTGTACGTGATATGTTTTTAAGTTCACTGTTGTTTTTTTTATTTTCGGTACTTTCCACTTGCAATTCATTCTCACAATCATTATTTCTTTTTTCATTTTGTACTGATAGATCATCTTCATGAACATAACCCATCTCATCATTCTGTGAAGCAGGTCTAGCATCATCATTTCGTGAAGCAGGTCTAGCATCATCATTTCGTGAAGCAGGTCTAGCATCATCATTTCGTAAAGCAGATCTGACATTTTCGTGGTAACTCTTCTAAAATCAAATATTTAAGATTTACAATTATTAATTTACCTTTATTTACCTTTTACGGTAAAAATCAAATTTTTTCAATATCCTCCTTTGCAACTGCTTTTTTTTTTATATTTTAACAACTTACGATCATCTTTGCTTTACTTCCGAATATTATCGGCACAGCATTTATTTTAAGCTTTCTTTTTCCATCAGCTCGGTTATTTTCCCACATATCGTGTGAAAAATGGACCTGCAACAATAAATAATGAATAAAATATTAGGAAATGATAAACTTAAGATATAAAAATCACAAGCTTAAAGACATAAACAGTGAGAAACAGTTAATTACTGTAAATGGTCTACTATGGTTTTTAAATAATGTAATAACTAACTACTCTTAAATTAAAGGCTTTAATGAAGTAAGAATTTAAATATTAAATCTCAAAAGTACTGTTCAAGCCAACACTGGTTGTCTAATGCAAATACATAGATAGAGTCAAGAAATAAAATATTCGTATTAGACAACCAGTGTTAGTTTGAATAATACCTTTAAAATTTGTATTTTTATAATATTTATGCATAAGTATGTCGTTTATATGTCAATTTGTGAAAAAATTGTTAAACATAATTCTATAGATAATCTTGAACTTACTTCACACAGAAATGATCTATCGGTAGGTGTCCAATCCTTTTTGCCAACCTGTGCCGTCCATTGGGCACGTCGAACTGGATCTCGGGGGAAAATTTTCATAATAAATCCTTTTTCGTCAGAATTTGTACATCCAGGAGCTGTACAACCTGTCATGTTGCTGAAATATTCTATTAGTTATTTTAATTTATAATATGTATATATTAGAACACGTGTTTATTTCTGGTCAGCCGTTATATTATTCAGTTTAAAGATATCTTATAATAGTGTAAAATTAAAAATACTTGCCTAATAATATCAATATTGTTTTGATAAATGTTAACAAGACGCAAAATATATGACGCAAAATCGTTAAAGTTGACAACTACTTAGCATGGTGGAAGTATACATGGTGTGCTCAGTTGGTTTAGTGTCTCTCTCGAAAATCGTTTGTCTCGCTTGCTTTCTGGCTTCGAAGAGCTGGAAGGGTACCAAACTAAAAAAGTTCCTAGAATCTCGGGAGAAAAGTCTGTTATGTTGCCTAATTCTCGTTATACTCGACAAAATGCCCAAAAATAATGCTATACAAAACTGCGGATAACAAATAAATTGAATACTGCTATATAAAAGTGCTAATTGAAATTGATTAAGTTTGAGTAAGTAATGAAATCCAGTTGAATTTATTTTTGCTTGCTGTTATACGTTTCTTTGTGGGAGGATAGTTTAGAAAAGGAAACATAAGTTATTACACACTCATTATTTGAATAAACACATTATTTATACGTTACGTATTTACATAGATGCTTAACTGAAAAATGAATCGCTTTATGTACAATGTAATTTATTGTTTATTTCAAGTCACTTTCTTCGCACTAACAATTTTGTTCATTTTTTTGTCTTTTCTTTGCTGATCCCTTCGGTGACATAAACGTTTTGAATATTCGCGTACTCTTATATATGTTCTCGTCTTTACAAGGTACTGAAGGACTTTGTCTGGAATATCTGAGGGGTAAGTCGACTCTTTTTTTACCATCCTAACAACTTTTTGAATGACAAGATCTTCTTCAGAAAAGTCATCACCGTGAAAGCGTACGAAACATTGCTCCACTAATTTACCAACGTGCAACAAAGTCTTGGACGGTTGTGTAAGGTAACCTTTCGAAATGGTGTTAACCCAACTGTGGTCATTACTGTTTATTATATCCTTTGTTCGTTCACCTAATAATGGATATATATTTTTAAATCGGTGCGCGACGTATCCTGCAACGTACTCTATACCAGCATCTTGACTGATATCCGAGGCATTTTGACAGCCGAGAGTTGGCGGAGGACCTTTAAAATAGTGATTGATAAACCTTGTCAATTCTTCGTCTTCTTCGTGTGTGTCAGTGCATATATCTACTCCCGTTTCGTCAAAAATCCCACTTTCAAAAATATACAAAGAAGAGCACCCGAACCGAAACGCGTCCGTAACGGTCGGATGGTTCGTCGGAACTCATATACGACTGTATATAGGTATGTCTTCCTCTATTGCATAGGGTATGACAAGGACGAGTAGATAAACAAGTTTGCCAACATTACTTTTCATTTTTTTTTCAACGGGTTGGCACAATTTCAGCTTCACCAAGGGTTTTCAGATCAGAAACTGAAAAGTCACTAAGTATTGAGCACACCATGTATACTTCCACCATGCTACTTAGGCTGAAATCACACGATGCGAAATAGGACTGCGGAATAGAGAGTGCGTTATTGAAGCAACCAATCAGCGTTAGTCCGCATTTTGCTTTCTAGCACTGATTGGTTGCTTGAATGACGCACTCTCTATTCCGCAGTTCTATTCCGTATCGTGTGATTTCAGTCTTAAGGAGCCTACAGACCAGAGCGGCGCAGCGGTGAAGCGGCGAGCAATAGCCAATGAGAGCCATGCTTTTGCGCAAAATCATGGCTCTCATTGGCTATCGCTCGCCGCTTCACCGCTGCGCCGCTCTGGTCTGTAAGCTCCTTTAGGTTAAGAAATAACCCCCGTATTCATAGTCAGACCTTATACTTAAGGCTTCCTTAAATTTATCTTCAGATGATTTACGAATTATTTTATTGGCTACTAAGTATCTAATCCAATATGGCTGTGTTTACTGTTTTGGAGCATAGCGTATGTATGTACATACAAGTGTTATTACGATTATTGTGTAGAGGAAGAAAAAGAAGATTATTGTATAAGTAATAAACGAATTATATGAAGGTTTTGTTCAGAATATCTAATGTATATAATATAATATGTAATATAATAATAGAGGTTAGTAGGTATGTACAATATGTATTAAGTATATATTCTTCAGACAGCATGCCGACCTGTTGCATCAAAAACTGTAGGAATCGCAGTTCTTGTGTATTTAGTGACAATTTAATGTTTTATACGTTCCCTAAAGATACCGATTTATGTCGAAAATGGCTCAAGGCTTGTGGTATAAATGTCAATTCTCAGATTAAACATGGTATGTATGTACATATAACAATTTAAAATTATACATGTCATTAACGTATTTTTTATTATAATAATTGTAACAAAATGTACCTTCAGAACGGGTATGCGAAGTGCATTTCAAAACAGAACACATAGAAAGGCAACTGACGAAGCCACGGTCAAACAGAATCCAACGTGTAATTAAAAGACTAAAAAAGGGATCTGTACCAACTGAATTTCTGAATTTACCGAGTGGACGAAAGAAGCGAATATATTCGTTTCCACAATCTTGCATCAATAAATCACAAAAAAAATTAATTCGGTAAGAATAAAAAATCATTCACATAATGTGTCATTCATAATGCAATATTACTGAAATGAAGAAAGTGAGTTCAGAAAAATATAATTTTTTTACGATATATTTATTTGTCATTACAATATTGCCGTTATCAGTTATCATTATTTCGTTAATAAATTTTACTTTATTTTACTGATTTATATGACATTTGCAGTACTGGCGTTCCAACCTATGCTGAACTCGTTGTCTACAGCAAGGATGCTGTAGATGCATCAGATTTGACGAAAGTTCAAGCAAGTTCAGTAGAAGACAACGTACGAGAAGAAAACATGGACTTGACTGAAGGGTAAATATTCTTGTTAATGTCAATAATTGTCTTCCATAATTCTAAATATTGTCATATTGGACACTTTTAATTGTACAGTAACTCATACAATACTCCATACTATTTGTATTTACGTATTATAATTTATTTTGTTAATCATTTTGTGACGTAAAATATAAAGATTTATGTCGTTATTTCTTTTATATATATATATATATATATGTGACAGAAATTTCAACAATGCTTTTTTATAAAACGTACAGTATTGGTGTAGCAATAATTGCCAAAAATACTGCTTATACAAATCCTGCCAATCCGTCTAAAATTCAGAAGAACAACATATATGGAAGAAAGATATTGGGCGAGTTCAAGACGACAAAGCGGCTAGGTACGCTTGCCAAGCGATCGAGTATGATTGGTTGGATCTATAAGTAATAACTAATTATATTCAATCGCTCGGCAAGCATACCTAGCCGCTTTGCCGTCTTGAACTCGCCCATTAGTTTCATATTAGGGTATATATTCTTTGTCTTTTACATTAAGTAGATTGTAGAATATTTCATCTTTGTTAAAAGCTGACTAAAATCTTGATTTTCATAGTTTTTTGTACTTCTTCGTTCCTTTTTTTTTATTTATTTATATTATGTTTTTCAGAAATGAACGAGAAGTTGAAGATTCAAACTCATCAACTGTTGACATGCTCTTAGCGCGCCTAAAAGAAGTAGAAGAGGAAAATACTGAATTAAAAGCACGGTTGCGTCAGAAGTGTATAGCAATGGACTGCATGAAGAAGGACATACAAAAGTATAAAAACTTTGCGACTAACATTCTTTAAAAAGTATAAATAACCGCGAAAGTATATCTGAAAATTAAGTACAAATTTCCAACGGAGGTGATCGCATGTTTGGTGCGAACCAGATCGTACATTAAATTGCGCAATATAAATATACAAATAAAAACTAATAATATAAGAAGAAAAGAAAGAAAAACAAAAAAATGTGCAATCTTGTTTCTAATTAATAACATTGTTACAGTTTGTAATATTAAAAATTCTCCATTTTGCAGGTTATCTTTGTGTTGATTCTATATTAAAATGCCAACGTTTTACTTTTTATAAAGTCAGACATAGAGATAACCAACGAAATGAAGAATTTTATTATTATTTTATTAATATACAGAATCTTATTGAATATTCCTTCCTTTTATTATTATTTCAATTCTAAAGCATTAGTTTGTAATATTTTTATATTTTAATACATTTTATGAATATTTTGTTATTATTTTAACTTCTAATACTGTGTTCTTATTAATAATCTCCTGTGAACATTTAAATTCCGCGCGTGCACAATGGGTCATAAGTGATTGGCTGACTACAATATCCGGCGGTAGGCGGTAAAGTAACTAGAAACCGCGGCGGCAAGCCGCGGTACGCGGTAAAGTGACTATAAGATAATTAACCTGAAAAGTTAACGCAAATTTCTTCCAAGTGGCCAATAAAGCGCATGGTAATTATTAGATTTAATCGATTTAATAATGTTATCATGGCCATCAACATCATATCTGCAGTCTCCATGACAAAAACAGTCTTTAATTAATGCGAAAATCGTTTTTTTTCCTACCAAACTCCGAAATTATTTCTCTTTACTTGGCAGTATATACAGTATATACCTGTGTTAATTTCTAGTTATGCACCCAGCTAACCGAGCCGATGCCGACCATGTCGTTATCGTTCCGCTCAGGAAGTAAGATATAAGGAGACTCCACTCCGTAAAATAAAAGTGGACCCATTTTAGGTTTCGAGTTCAGCTTCCGATTCTGATGAGTGCGAGTAAGAGAAATGATCATTTCTCTTACTCGCACTCATTATGCGCAGCACTACTAAATTCACGAGCGCTGCGAGTGTCGAGAATCGGAAACGGAACTCGAAACCTAAAATGGGTTCATGTCTTGTAGACTGGCGAGACCGAATGGAGTCTCCTTATATCTTCCTTCATGGTTCCGCCTTTCTTTTTTCCTACTATTACATGGAAAGGCGGCACGGTATAGTGACAAGTTCACATTTGTATGCATTTTCTTAAATGTATTAACTTATTTCTATGCACATTTTATCAATAATCTTATTTTTTCAACGAATCTGCTTAATAATTGCATTTAAATCTATTAATTTCATTAAAAAGTGCATAGTAATGTCAACTTGTCACTAGTCCGTGCCGCTTTTCCGCGCAGTTTTGGCTCCATGTTTTACACTGCATCCGAATTCGTCGTACGACGACTCCGCAACCAATCAGGAAACAAAATTTTGCTTCCTATCGATGATACGATTTTTCTGATTGGTTGCAGAGTCGTCGTACGACGAAAATCGGATGCAGTGTGAATCCAGCATAAGGCCGATATTTCATGTGTCGTACGACAAGGCTTTTCAAGCCTGTTTATTGGCTGTAAAACAGAGAGATTCTCGGATCTCTCTGTCCTATAGCCAATCAACGTGCTTGAAAAGCCTTGTCGTACGACACATGAAATATCGGCCTAATAATAGGAGAAAATTAGCGCGGCTTGATAAGAAAATGGACCAATGAAATTCCTTATGCACATGCTTTATGCGTTATGCATAAGGAATTTGATTGGTCCATTGACTCATGCATAAGAAAATGGGCCAATGAAATTCCTTATGCACATGCTTTATGCATTATGCAAAAGTCTGTGCTCCCCGCTTTACCGCGCGCGGTTCCTAGTTACTTTACCGCGTACCGCGTTCCACGCTGCATGTAAAATCACCCTTAAGCGGGGAGCACAGACTTTTGCATAACGCATAAAGCATGTGCATAAGGAATTTCATTGGTCCATTTTCTTATGCATGAGTCAATGGACCAATCAAATTCTTTATGTATATGGTTTACGCGTTATGCAAAAGTCTGTGCTCCCCGCATGAAGGAAGATATAAGGAGACTCCACTCGGTCTCACTAGTGACCCTCTAATAAGGGTCTGCGCACAATGGAGGAACAGATATTAGATATTAAAATATTAACCTATCCAGATACCAGTTACACCGAAATACACGATTCTGATAGGTTAATATTTTAATATCTAATATCTGTTCCTCCATTGTGCGCAGACCCT